AAAAGGTGGGGAAAGAATGGGAGTCACTGCTTAATAGATTAAAAATTTGGGATGATAAAAAATATTTTGGAAACAGCTGGTGGTAAAGATTGCACAACACTGTGAATGGAATATCACTGAATTATATACTTAAAAATGGTTAAAATAGCAAATTTTATGTTATACTTTACCACAATTTTGAAAAAATAATGTAGAATATTAAAACCACTGCATTGTACTTTTTTTTCCTCCTTCCCTCCCTCTTTTCAAAAATAATTTTTCGCCCTGGCCAGTGTGGCTCAGTTGGTTGGATGATCGTGGTCCCCTGAACCAAGAGGCCCCAAGTTTGACTCCCAGTGAAGGCACATGCTGGATGCTGGGTCAGGGTTATATTCCCAGTAGGGGGAGTACAGGAGACAACCAATCCATGTTTCTCTATCACTGATGCTTCTCTCTCTGTCCCTCACTCTCTCTCTCTCTGAAATCAATAAAAATATATATTAAAAATGGATTAGCAATGATTTTTTTGTTATTATTAAAAGGATTTTGGTTTTTTAGCCAACACACACTCTGGGTTTTACTCACCGATTTCTTCTGATTCTTGCCCAGAGGCTCTAAGCTTGCATTCCTTTGGGTAATGTTTCTGAATTATTTCCCACAGTTCCTTATTGATGAGAGAATTTCTTCGGGTGTGGTACCGGGTCCACGACGAGACCCGGCGGCGACAGAAGGGACAGCATAAATTCGCCTTTTCGACAGTCGATTGGAAGCATGCATTACAGAGCGTGTGATTACAAGGCAGTGTTACCGGCTCAATCAAGATATCCATGCAGATCCCACACTGGCATTCCGACAAGGAAGGGACGGCATCTTTTGGTACAGCCATTTTAATATGCTAAAAAGACATATTCAACATCAACACCAGAAAGACAAAGAAGGACAAAGCAGGGTAATTCCGGCCCAACCAAGGAGAAACCAAATGAACAGCTTTGTGTTTAAATACTATGCCCAGCAGCGTATCAGAATTCATAGGTTGTTAGCATCAAACACGTATTGAAGCAAAACGCGCTCTGCGGGCCAGGTAAACAGTACTACCCTGAAAGACGCGTATCTGTCCGTGTTGAAGACAAACATCTGGTAAGAAAATAAATGAACGTTTCCGTCCTGAGAACTTGACTGCTCCACAGGTATTAATATAACTGCTTCCTCAGCGCAGCTGGCGGGCTCCCGCTCTCTGGCGCGAGGCGAAGTAAACAAGTTCCCCTCCTCCCTCTTACCTGGCGAGGATGCTCCCTCTGCGGCTGAAGCGGCAGCCTCCGAGCCCGGGCACCGGCAAGGACACTGCTTCCGCCGGGACTCCCAGCCCCGCCAGAGCAGGACTTCCGTTTTACCATTGCTGTGGGGGCAGCGCACGACGCCCCGCGCCCCAGCTTTCCGCCGTCTAAGGCGTTCTGAGGCCACCCTTCTCTTCCCTAGAGCGAGCCTAAAAGTTTCATCCTTTCCGCGGGTACGGTAGCAACCCAACGGGCCCTAGAGACGTCACAACTGCCCGCCGAAAGGGGCCCCGCCCCCGCCCCCCAGAGAGCCGTCCAATGGCAGAGACCAAGAACGCTGCGGCGGGCGGGACTTCCGGGGCTTGAGCGCGCCCTCCCGCGCAGGGCCTGGGGCAGAGGGGCGTGGTCCTGTGCCGCAGTCGTCCCTGCTTCAGATTGGACGGCCTCTGAGTGTCCAGTGCGTTTTTCTGTTCCCGGAGGCTGCGGGAAACCTGGGATTGTCGTCTGTGGTCAAAAAAGAGAAACGTCCAAACAAATTTTTAAAATTCTTCCCCTAGCACTACTGAAACTACCTTTCTTTTTCTTTTAATTTGTAGTTACGCCTCTTAGATTGCTATCCGGAGTTCTTAGAAAAGCATCTCCGAGGCTGATCTCGGAGAAGAGGTAATCAGAGAATCTGCAAACATGTACAATTTATAGAAGCACGTTCTTCCATAGCCCACCCCTTCTTAAGTCGGCTGCTCAAAGATAGGTAGTTTTAGGATTTCCTTCCTTCCTAAGGGCTTGGGAAACAAACCAGGGCTGCCTCTGTCCTGAAGCTCAGCAGTCGTGTGCATCATATATAATGTAGTATTTTATTACTAAATCAATCTAGAACAATCAAAATTACAAGGAGGCCAAAAACAAAATAGTTTAATATTTTATGCATTTTGAAATACGTTCTTCCACTTGGTATTAAGCTCTTGTACTAACTGATCCTGTTGTAGGCAGAGGTCAGCAGAGCAAATAGGTGGGCCAGGTACAGAAGGTCACCTGGGTGCCTAGCAACACACAATTGTAGGGTGGGACTTCATCCCCAGGGTGACCTTTCCACCCTAGCATATCTCACTGGTTATGTAGTTCAGACCCCCTGACCTTTCATATCACTGATCATTTGGTTTAGACCCCCTGACCTTTCCTCCCTAGAGAGAACATCTAGGCCTCAATTGTATTTCAGCTCCAGGCCCAGAAAAGCAGCACCACCACATAAGCCATGCCATCAAGACCAGCTGCATTGGATAATGACCTCCTGAAAGAACACATCTGGAAAGACGATGCATATTCGATTGAAATCCTCCCCTGGGACCTCCCCTAAGATTTCCTCCCTTAAAACCCTTAGGTGGAGGACCCTCCCAAGTGTAGCCTGTACCTTTCCCTCTCCCCCCAACTTCCCTTTCCCCTCTCCCCAGACTCATCGCCTTTACTTTCCTCACTTCTAAGCTCCAAGGGCCCTTCCTTTGCCTCTATAACTTGTTCCTAAGCCCATCTCTTCTACGAATTAGTTCTTCTACCCTGTGATTTTCCAAATAAATGTTTTCTTATGTTTGAGTCTTGGCTCTGAATTCTTTCCTAGCCAGAACTCAAGTACCGAGGTTGCTGAACCCAGGTCCAGTCTGACCCCACCAGTCTAACACCTGGTGTTCCCACTGCCGCCAACAATCCTATTGAATTTAGTGCTATAAGAAAATATATTTTGCAGTCAGAGAAAGGCAAGTATCACATGATCTTACTCATATGTGGAATCTAATGAAGCAAATAAACTGATGAAAAAAATAGATCCAGAGATATAGAAGCATGGAACAGACTGAGGAATCTCAGAGGGAAGGCAGAGGTGGGGGCAGAGAATAACCTAAGAACTTATATGCATATATGCATAACCCATGTACACAGACAAGTGTGGTGAAGGCCTGGTGGGGGGAGGAGGTGCAGAGTGGAGGGGATCAATGGGGGAAAACTGGGACATTTGTAATACTTTTAACAATAAAGATAAATTTTAAAAATATTTCCACTGGAAAATGGTGGATTAAATAAGACTGTGATCCTTAGTACTTTAGAACCAAGCCTCTGAACAGGAAAGGGTTCTATGGACATCCCAGGGTGATCTGATCATAAATTCTTAAAGCAGGTCTTGGTGGGTAGTCTCGCCAGAGGCATATATCTTTTTACCAAAATGTTTATTTTTGCCTTAAGCAAGTAACATCCATTGTTTCTGTGCATCTAAGTTAACACACCTTTGAAATAGCAGTAACTAAACTCAAGAGAGCACATAATCTTGTTGTTAACTAGCCTGTAATCCAATCCCTGCCTTGCTTTCTCCCACTTTGATGCAGTCTTCCTTACTGTTCCTTCCTTAATTTGAAATGCATAAAAGCAGCTGCAAAATTTTTATTCTCAGCATTTGTGATCTTGCTCCTTGGCATATGTCGTTGAGTTGGCTCAAATAAACTCTTCTAAAAATTCTCTACAGGCTTGAATGTTCATATATCAACACCTCCTAGAGTAGGAGTAGAATAGAATGGTGTTTGCCAGGGGCTGGGATAGTTATTGTTTAATGAATATGGAGTTGCAGTTTTATAAGTTCTAGAGATAGATGGTGGTGATGGTTGCACAACATTATGAATGTATTTTTTTGTTAATCCTCACCGGAGGATATTTTTTCCACTGATTTTCAGAATGGAAGGGAGGGAGGGAGGGA